CGGCCGACGAAATAGGCCAGACAGGTTCGTCGCGTGACCCTCGGGATGGCCTCGCTAACGAGTGCCTCAGTAAGGATTTGTAAATCCTTACACTCTCCCACCTTCTAGAGAAGGCAGCCCTGTACTGAAAACAGACCCCACACTAGCGAAGATGCCGTAGATCTCCTCTTCAGCTGAATCCGACGGCTGAAATGCCTTTGACAATATTTTTGAAAAGGTTGGAATGTAGGCCGTTGATGTAGTCAGATGTCGATCGGACGGTCGCGGATGAACTGGCCCAATTTGAAAGAGAAGTTGGAATGTGAGCCGTTGATCGAATTCGATGTTGATCTGACGATCGAAGACTGACGCGAGAAGGGAGGGAACCTGCTGACGCGAATTCAAACGCGACTGAGCAGGGACCGTAGATTTCGATGGAGCGATCGCAGTCGTCCGTCGTGTTGCTGCAACCTGACAAAGTCAGAAATAGGACCGAGAAAATGCCAAGGAAAGAACAGTGCAGCGCACTTTCTCCCCCCCTCCAAGAAAACACACCAAAATGTTTCCCGCAGCTGCGCCGAGATGGAAAATCAACAAAAACAGGTGTTAAGTCCCACGTAAGTGATTGTTGAGCGTAGAAGTCTGGGTGAGAATGTGTCGGTGTGGAAATCGATGACCAAAACCAGGTATTACGTTCCCAAGAAATCTTCGAGGGTGAACCCGCAGCAGTAGACCGAAAACCCAAACGTATTTTACCAAGTACTCGAACTGAACTCTTTTGTCTTCACATCGCCAGAATCAGGCGATATCTTCAGCAGTTGCAGCTGGCAGCACCTGACGTGGTAGGAATTGAAATCCTTTGTCGTGGGCGGGTCGAAGGCGAGTTGTCGTTAATAGAGTTGGAATGGATCTGCCGAGAGATTTGTCGTAATGCGCCGAGGGCTCCTGGGCAGAGATGAAAATTGCAGCTGTCTCTCCCCCCCCTTCACTGTTGCTGCCGCCTTCTTCAGTTCGTCGTAAGTCGTTCGTACCCCTTGAAAATTCCGTGTAGTTCCCGCGATGTTGCCCCATGTAAATGTCACGTGCGTTTAACCAAACGCCGAATTTCCTCCGAAAGCTGTCGGCGCTCCTTGCCGAAAACCTGTAAGTCTCGCGTAAAAACTCCGTAAATGTCGGTCGAAACACAGCCCCGTAAATCCTTGGTTGCAGGTGCAGTTCTCCTCCGAAAATCTCGGACGTACTATAGCCGCCCACTCGGTCACCAGTAGTTTCCTTCGATTTACCCGACCCCAGCATGTGGGTTCAATCGAGAACCGGGGACTTGCCCTGGGTTATTCCGAGACCGAATCTCACGGAACCTAGTGGCATCAACGCCGTTGACCTCGTCGTCGAAGCTGCTCCCGCCGATGTTGCTTAACAAAATACCACTCAACTCCCACTGGCGCTTTGCAGATGTTTCACCCATCGCTCGTCGCCGGTAGGTAAATCCCGAAACTTCGGCTGCTCCCACGCTCCCTTTTACTGAAGAATTTCCCGCGGTGTACGTTTAAACACCAGTGGGTTCTAGGTATCCCCGTCGCTATGTTTCTTGCCAGGCGACTTAAAAAGTGACCCTTCAGGCGAAGTCCCCCAACGGCTCAACCGCACTCCAAGAAGCGAAGAAACACCCTTAGCTCCAACTCTTTTTTTTTTTTTTTTTTTTTTTTTTTTTCACCGTATGAAGATCACCCAAAAATCGTGGTTGAGGCAGCAGTCCCGAAGTTATTCTCCGCCGTGTAGCCCCGACGTTTCCTCTGTCAACCCTGGTATTCCGACGTTTCACCCGTCTTCATACCCGTCGAAGCCACTTAGCAGATCCCAGGTATCCTTGGCAGTGCACCCCTCGCCGTGCCTCCATGTTTAAAGTTTCTGACCCTTTCGGCGTCCACTTAGTAGGCCCCGAAATTCACGGTGGAGTGGTGTACGGGCTCAACCTCTCACTCAAGTGATCTGCTGGATCACCCACAACTTTCCCTCCTTTATTTTGTCTTCACCCCCCGACAATTTCGCTTCCCGCCGTTTCACCCAGCGTCCGCTTTTGTCGGATGGGGTATCGTCGGTGTTGCCCGCGCGAACCCGGCCACGGTGGAGGGGCAAAAACTATCGGAGTCGGGGTAGCCTTAGTTAAAAGGAACTATCGCCCAACCGTTTTGCAGCCCGCCGTGCCTATCACGCCATGAAAACTCCACAGCTTCCGGGTCTCAGCTTCGCCGCTGCGCCGTCAATTCGTTTAGACGCCCGGGTCAGGAGAAATCCGTAAACTACTCCAATGTTTCCTCGCAGCTCCCCGACTTTTTCGCGTGCTGTTTCACCCAGCCCGTTTTTGTCGGAGTAGAATAGTGCCGCGAGCTCCTCTTTTTTCTTGGATTTTTTCTCTGAACAGCTGTCGAACGGGCACCAGTCCAGGTGCTTTTAACCAGCACAGGGTAGGCTTGTGTTCACCCCCGTTATTCGGCCAAGTAGGTTGACTGCATGAGTCAGAACCAGGACTTGGTGGGGATGGTGAGGTTCGGGCGAAGTAGGGTTGCAGATCGGTTTCACCGGCTTTTAATCTACTCCTACGACGTTCTTCAACCCCCGCTTAGCCGTTGGGCAGTTTCTTCTCGTGTGTCCCGGCGTCCTGCACCGAACCTCCGTAAATGTCGGGCAGTACCTTGGACGCCGTTTAATCGTGGGTTGTCAGCAGCTGTCCCCGAAAACGACTTCCCTGGTAGGAGAAACCGCTCTCGAAAATGCCGGCCAGCTTGCAACAACACCAGGCACGCAGTGTCGCTCGAGTCGTTTCCGAGGTTACCGGCCTTGGTTTCCCTCGTCGCCTGCGTCCCACTTCTCCTTAAGTGCGATTTAGCTACTCCGTTTTTCGTTGCAGCCCGTAAGTGTCGGCGAGTCTGAAGTCCCGTCTGTCCACGAGCACTTCTGTCGAAATCTTCGATGACGCGCCAGCCATGCAGTAAAAGCCACTGCACTTCAGGTCGGGCGGGACGGCAGTTTCCCCCGCATAAATCGGGCAGTTTGCGTGTCGTCTCTCCTCGTCACCGACTTTTTCGGACGCAAAAACTCCATTTGCGCCTGGCGAGTTCCCCAGTTGTCCTTTTCTTCAGAAGTTCCGAAATTATCGCCCACAGTGACGCACGTCCGTTGTCGCCAGCTGCCGAGCCACACTCCGTGAGTCACGCGCGCAAGATGACGACGAGCCACCGTTGTCACTTGCCGCATGGGACGACTCCGAAGTTGTCGCGCAACTGTTGACCCCGGTCCAACGGCGTCAACTGCCACACATGATGACGACTCCGCGAACTTCGTGCAGGTGCCGACGCAGGTCCGCTGACGCCAGCTGCCTCACAAAATTCCGAAATCGTCGTTAAGAACGCAGCGGAATAGTAACTCACATTTAATGTCGCGACAGCTACAGTTGTCCGTTGCCCGGGGGGAGGGAGGTCACGGTCGATCGCGACCGTTCGAGGCAAGGATCCGGCGGTGCCAAGGAGTGCCCGTAAAAATATGGCCGCGAGGAGCAACTAACTAGTTCTCCTGGCCGGCTAGCACGCAACTCCTGGACCCCAAGACATCCTCCCTCGTCCCCCCCCCGAGGGGTATTACACTCTAAAAAGCGGGGTGAGCTAGGAAAGTAGCTCTGATACCAGGTGTTATGAGTTGTAAACGAGAGTGCGCAGAATATCGAATAACGAGAATGGTTGAATCCTGAATGTCGATACAATGAGAATGCCGAGGCCTAAATAGGGGAAAAGCTAGCTAGGCGGGGAGGTCGGGAAAGGATGGCTCGGTGATGGTTGCGATTGGAGCGGAGGCCGACTCGGGAGTGGTTCGGCCGACGAAATAGGCCAGACAGGTTCGTCGCGTGACCCTCGGGATGGCCTCGCTAACGAGTGCCTCAGTAAGGATTTGTAAACCCTTACATCCCCCGTCCCCATAGACTTCAGAGACACACTCCTCTTTTTGTTCGCATCAACTGGAAACAATGGCCTCCGCAGGGAGTTAGGGTCAGCAGAGGCTTCCACGCTGCATTTGCAAGAGTAGCCTGGTATCACAATTGTGAAGAGTAGCATTGTGAAATTAACGTATAACAATTCTGGTATCAAGTGGAGACTAGGCAACTAGTCACCTTGTATTTTTGGTTCCCATCCTAACAACTAAACCACCGGGAGGTTTTCCACTTCCAGTGTTTATTCCAATCCCTCTCTCCAACCACGTCTCCACCATCTCTCCACCACCATGCTCTGCGTTGCTCGGAACCCGTCCTCCTGGCACTTGCACCCAGCCAGAGTTACCCGGGCAAAAAATGCCTGTCCAGCTACACCACAAACTCGCGACTGTCCTCTGAACCCAGCATTGCCAGGCGTGTGCCCAGTGCACCGCCACTGCCCTGCCCATCCCATATGCCAGTGCCACTCCCCCAGAACAGCCCGCTCCATCTCCCTATGCTCTGCTCTCGTCTCTCTCCGCTGTCCCCCTCTCTGCTATCTAGCCTTTCTCCTGTCCGCTCCCCTTGCAGCAGGGAGGCTCGAAGGGGCTTGAGGGTTCGGAGGGCCGCAGAGGGAGTGGGGCGGGAGGAGGGAGAAGGGGAGGTGCAGGAGAGGGCGAGGAGGAAGAGGGGGAGGAGGAGGGAGTGAGGGGGTGGAGGGTGTGGCAGGAGGGGGTCGAGGAGAGGAGAGACGTTGCCAGCTGTCACATGCTGCTGGGCCTGAGGGTTGGGAGGACGGGGAGATGGAGATGCGGGCAGGGGAAGAAGGGAAGGGGAAGGTATGCAAGGGGCGAGTGCATGGTCAATGCACAGTGCACATGCACCATCATCACAACTACACCATGCCACACTATGCCATGCCATCCCGTGCCATGCCATGCTATGACATGCCATGCTATGCCATGCCATGCCATGCCACGCCATGCCATGCAATGCCATGCCGTGCCATACCATCCCATTCCCTGCCACACCATGCCACACCATGCCACACCACACCATATCATGCCATGAGCAACAGGGAGGCACGCACCCAGTCAGAGATGTGAATGTGGTGCCCATCCTCATGCTTGTAGGGAGCATCCCACCCCGTGAGCAGCTGCAGCAGCAGCACCCCCACGCTAGCAAGGACAGACCGGAAGAAAGGCGACAGAGGGAGGGCGAAAGGGTAAGAGTAGGATGAGATGCGATACGCAGCTGTTGCAACAGCACTCCCACACTGGCAAGTGCAGAGAGAGTGGAGAGACCAAAGATGAAAGGAGGGAGAGAGAGTGGAGAGACCAAAGTTGAAAGAAGGGAGAGAGAGTGGAGAGACCAAGGTTGAAAGAAGGGAGAGAGGGTGGAGAGCGCAAGATGAATAAGGGAGATATAGTGGAGAGGGGAAGAAGATGGTGGAGAGGGGTAAAGGTGGGTGGAGAAGGGTAGATGAGGGTGGAGACCAGAAGAAACAGGTGGGCAGGGGGAGATGATGGTGAAATGAGTGAGTGGGAAGGCCGGTGTTGACCCCGCCCCACCCGAATATGTGGGCCCCACCTGAACATGTGGGCCCCACCTGAACATGTGAGCCCCACCTGAACATGTGGGCCCTACCTGAACATGTGGGCCCCACCTGAACATGTGGGCCTTACCTGAACATGTGGGCCACACTTGAAAATGTGGGCCCCACCTAAACATGTGGGCCCCACCTTAACATGTGGGCCCCACCTAAACATGTGGGCCCCACCTAAACATGTGGGCCCCACCTGAACATGTGGGCCCCACCTAAACATGTGGGCACTACCTGAACATGTGGGCCCCACCTGAACATATGGGCCCCACCTGAACATGTGGGCCCCGCCTGAACATGTGGGCCCCACCTGAACATGTCTGACATGGCAGACGCAATGCCAGAGTGCAGCACAGCGGGATCCACATGCCCCTCCGTGCACCGCAGCACTCTCCGCTGCTTCAACCCTCCACTGCCACTGCTGCTGCTGCTGCTGCTGCCGCCACTCTTCCTGCTCTCCATCGAACTCCCACTATGGCCACTCTTGCCACTGCTGCTGCCAGCTTCACCACTGCTGCCACCCTTGCTGCCTCCACCTTCCCCACTCCCGCTCGTCCAGGAACCTTCCTGCTGCCCGCCCATGTCAACGTGCACGCACTGACCCATGCGCACCGCACTCCAGTCGCCCACCCGCGCCTGGCAGGGGATGGCCCGTTTGGAGAGACAGTTGCAGGTGAGGAGGAGGGGAGTGAGATAGGTGAGGATTGTGCGGGTAAGGCAGCGATTGATAGCAAGATTGAGAGGGTTCAGGACAGACGTGATGCAATGCCAAATCGAATTTATTCGACCCTTTCCCTATAAGCCTCGAGCGAGATCCGGGTCGAGTCAACTAAAACTCGACCCAACATTTGATTTTTGGGGTTTTAGTTTTATATTTTCCCTCAACCTAAGCTGGAACAATCAATGAGCAAGAGAATAGGGAAAGGGAAGCTTGCTTGTAGCCCAAGCAACCACAAATGTGACCTGGTTGGGATTTGGCAGATGCCAACCAAGGAACAAGCTTCAGGACCAATTTTCACCAACCACAAATTGTGGTTGAAGGGTACACCCAACAACCCTCCAATATATAGCATTTCTACACTTCTAAATTTAGTTTATGAATGTTGTATAAATTAAGAGAGTACAACTGAATCCGCACTCGAAAGTCTCCCAAGCCAAGGAAAAAAGACCGACTCAAGTTTTTATTGGACTCAAATGCTCATGTCTAGTTGAGGGGCATACACCCATCTCCCAAGCAGCAGCAAAAAGCACCTCCGAAGACACTTGGAGCAGGGCAATGTACTCACCTCCCAGGCAACAGTGAGCAGCACGTTGGAGGGCTTGAGGTCGCCATGCACCCGCCCATGGCTCTGCACCGCCTTGAGTGCCCTCAGCACTCCCACCGTGATGCCAACCCGCTGCCGCAGCGACAAGGGGCTGCTGCCCGCTAGTGCGGCTGATTTGGGATGTATGATTCGGGAGGCACGAAGGAGGTGAGGTGTGGGGATGGGTTGGACATGGTGCAAGAGGGTTGGCAGTGGTGGAGCATGGGGAGTTTGCCCTGTGCGGTCAACGAAAAGGAAAATGAAAGGACAAGAGTCCACAAGGAAAAGAAGAGGGCCACAAGGAAAGAAAAAGGGTCCACTCTCGTGTCTACAGACTGCTGCAGAGACAATGGGGCTTGAGGGGCTGAGATGACTTGGGGGGAAAGGAAGATGTGCACGAGGGATAATCTCCGTAGGGGAAAAACAAGGACAGCAAAAAAGCGGCGGTTGCGAGGGGCAGGCGTGGGGTGGGATGTGAGAGGAGAGGAGAGGAAAGGAGATGGGAGGTGCGGAGAGGAGAGGAGAGGAAAGGAGAGGGGAGGAGAGGAGAGGAGAGGAGACAGGAGGAGACGAGAAGTGAGGAGAGGCGAGGAGAGGAGAGGAGAGGAGAGTGAGGAGAGGAGAGGAGAGGAGAGGAGAGGAGAGGAGAGGAGAGGAGAGGAGAGGAGAGGAGAGGAGTGGGAGATGGAGGAGGACAGGTGGTGAGTGAATGCCATGGCAGCCCACTGTGAGCGCACCTGCCACTGTGAGCGCACCTGCCACTGTGAGCGCACCTGCCACTGTGAGCGCACCTGCCACTGTGAGCGCACCTGCCACTGTGAGCGCACCTGCCACTGTGCGCGCACCTGCCACTGTGCGCGCACCTGCTTGCAGCACGCCCTGCAAGCTGCCCCTCTCCATCCACTCGTACACCAACACCTGCCCCTCCTCTCCCCCCTCCTGCCTGGCCCCCTCCGCTCCCCCTTTCTGCCTACCCTCCTCCTCTTCCCCCTCCTGTCCGCCCCCCTTCTCTCCCCCCTCCTGCCCGCCCCCCCTCTCTACCTTCTGCCCTGCATCCGGAAGCCCCTCGCTGCCCCCTTTTGCCTGCCAGCTGCACCAGCCCACGAGGCGGAGCACGTTGGGGTGCCCCACCCGCGCCAAGGCCAGCGCGTGGGCCTCCAGTGACTCCCACGGCGGCCCCCCTCTCATGCGCTTCACTGCCCACACGCCCCCCCGCCCCCGCGCCCTCCCCCTCCCTGCACGCACCCCCTGCTTCCTCTGCAACGCTCCCCCCTCCTCTCCCCCTTCTTTCTTCTCCTCTCCCCCTTCCCGCTTCCCCTCTCCCCCTTCCTGCTTCCCCCCTCCCCCTCTTCCATTCCCACCATCGCTCTCGGCCTCGCTCCTCTCCTCGCTCTTTTCCCCCTCCGCCCTCCGCCCCGATTCCCCCCATTCCCCCCTGTACACGTCACTCCACCTGCCTCCCCCCACCCTCCGCCCCTCTGCCCACCCATTGGTGGCCCTGATTAGGTCAGCAAGGGGAATGTGAGGGCAGGGGAGGGTGCGCCTGAGCATGGAAGGAGCTGCAAGGGGAAGCGGGGCATGAGGGGAACGGGGGGAGCGGGGGGGATGAGGGGAATGAGGGGAACAAAGCGAGTGAATATGGCAAGTGGAGACCCATGAGCGGACGAAGGGGGGAATATGGCAAGAAAGGAAGCGAGGCGAGTAAAAGGAAGATACTAGGTGCTGTTGGCAGAGAGGTGCAGGAATTTTTTAGGCGCCTCAAAAATAGGCGCTGTTGAAAGAGAGGTGGAGGAACTACATGTCACTGTCTGTTTTTTTTAATTCTCAAAACACACACAAACACACACACAAACACACACACAAACACACACACAAACACACACACAAACACACACACAAACACACACACAAACACACACACAAACACACACACAAACACACACACAAACACACACACAAACACACACACAAACACACACACAAACACACACACAAACACACACACAAACACACACACAAACACACACACAAACACACACACAAACACACACACAAACACACACACAAACACACACACAAACACACACACAAACACACACACAAACACACACACAAACACACACACAAACACACACACAAACACACACACAAACACACACACAAACACACACACAAACACACACACAAACACACACACAAACACACACACAAACACACACACAAACACACACACAAACACACACACAAACACACACACAAACACACACACAAACACACACACAAACACACACACAAACACACACACAAACACACACACAAACACACACACAAACACACACACAACACACACACAAACACACACACAAACACACACACAAACACACACACAAACACACACACAAACACACACACAAACACACACACAAACACACACACAAACACACACACAAACACACACACAAACACACACACAAACACACACACAAACACACACACAAACACACACACAAACACACACACAAACACACACACAAACACACACACAAACACACACACAAACACACACACAAACACACACACAAACACACACACAAACACACACACAAACACACACACAAACACACACACAAACACACACACAAACACACACACAAACACACACACAAACACACACACAAACACACACACAAACACACACACAAACACACACACAAACACACACACAAACACACACACAAACACACACACAAACACACACACAAACACACACACAAACACACACACAAACACACACACAAACACACACACAAACACACACACAAACACACACACAAACACACACACAAACACACACACAACACAAACACACACACAAACACACACACAAACACACACACAAACACACACACAAACACACACACAAACACACACACAAACACACACACAAACACACACACAAACACACACACAAACACACACACAAACACACACACAAACACACACACAAACACACACACAAACACACACACAAACACACACACAAACACACACACAAACACACACACAAACACACACACAAACACACACACAAACACACACACAAACACACACACAAACACACACACAAACACACACACAAACACACACACAAACACACACACAAACACACACACAAACACACACACAAACACACACACAAACACACACACAAACACACACACAAACACACACACAAACACACACACAAACACACACACAAACACACACACAAACACACACACAAACACACACACAAACACACACACAAACACACACACAAACACACACACAAACACACACACAAACACACACACAAACACACACACAAACACACACACAAACACATACAGAAACATGTAAAGAGATACTCACACCCACCCACCCACCTATACTCACACACAATCCCTCCCCCTTTCCTCTACACACACATTCCACTCCACCCACCACTTGCTGGCATGGCGACTCGTGCCCCACAACACCCGCCCATCCATGAGGTGACTTTTGAGTCAACTCAAAAGGCGACTCGTGCCCCACAACACCCGCCCATCCATCACATCACATGCCTGCTTCATCCCTGCTCCCCTCCCTCTGGTACCAGCGTTGTTTTGAGACGTCTCAAAACAACACTTTTATCACGTGCCCCACCACAAAACCCACCCCACCCATCCATCACATCACATGTCTTATTCATCAGCGCTCCCCGCCCTCTGATAAAAGTGTTGTGTTGACAGGGCGGGGAGTTGGGACGAGACCCGCATCTACAAACAATACTTTGATCACGTGGCTACCCATGTGGATTAAGACCGAACCAACCATCCATCACATCTCATCACATGCCTCCTTCGTCCCCGGACCCCGCCCACTGATGCGAGCGTCTCAAAACAACACTTTTATCACATGCTCCACTACAAAACCCACCCCACCCATCCATCCCATCACAAGCCTCCTTCATCCTCCACTCTGCCCTATCCCCTGCCCACTCACTCATAACCTCCCCCTTCCGCGCCTGCCCCCGCCTCCACCACCACAGCCCCCATCCCCCCCCCACCAGCACCACCAGCAGCAGCACCGCTGCACCCGCTGCTGCCCCGGCAATTGTGGATGGTGAGAGGGAGGAGGCGAGAGAAGGGGGAGGAGGAGGGGAGGAGAGAAGGACCACGATGAGAAGGGGAGGAGGTGGGGGGAAGAGGGACGGCGGAGGGGGAGGAGGAGAAGGGGGAGGCGGTCGGGTGATTGGTGCTGCGGGCGGGGAGTAAGACGGGGGGATGGGATGAAGGGTTGGGGTGAGTGATGGGTGGGCCTATGGGATGGGGATGGGTGGGCATGTTTGAGTATGGAAGCGATTTTCTTAAACTGAATGCGGTGATCATTGGACGGGTTGAATATTGGTGAGCACAAACGGGGGAGCTCGTGGCGCGGATGACAAGAGCAAGGCTAAGTGTATGGTTGGTTGATCGGTGTAATCCTGACCGTTGATTGGGATACAAGTGGAGCAGAAAGTCGAACAGATCCTGCAAAACATGGATGAACGGTCCTGCTTTATTTCACAGCGCCCCTCCATTGGGCAGCCCACCCCAGCATCAGGATAATCACTGAAAGATGATGCACACAGAGGGCGGATGGGCGGGGGGCACACCGAGAGGTATGGCCAGATTAGCATCCTCTTTGAGTCCAGTATGTAAGCTATGATGCTCGGGTAGAATTCGACACCCAAACTACTAAGCTTCGTTGCACAAAAAACTAATGTCTGTTCTTGTGGCAGGCTGGGAACCCAACCATGGCCCAATATTTTGGTGCCAAGGCTGGGTTGATTGGGAGATTACTTGACCCCAAGTAATCTTAACTCAACTTCGAACGAGATTATTGGGATCCGCAACATTCTCCAACCCAACATACTGGTGGGGCCAATAATCATGGCCATTGGCCGAATGCACATAAAGTTATGTCATGTGAAAGGCGCATAAAATCAAGTTATGACATGTAAAAGGCACATTATGTTATGACATGTGGAAGGCACATAAAGCTATGTCATGTGGAAAGCACATAAAGTTATGTCATGTGGGCACACATGAAGGTATGTCATGTCCAAGGAACATTTTAAGGCATGTCATGTGGAAGGCACATGTAAAGGTATGTCATGTGAGTATGTCATGTATCTAATTATGAATATCAATATGTATCTACGCGTAGAGAAGAGGAAATCGCACAAGGTTACAAGATTCGTGAGGGCTCCAAAAGCGGCAGGGATTTTTCCTTGAACCTTCGTTCCGATCAATTCACTGAGTGGGATGCGGTTTGGGAAGGTGAGACAAGAGGGGAGCAAGCGGAAGGGGAGAAAGACACCAGTTCGAGGAATGTGAGAAGTGAGGAGAGGGAGACAGCAAACATCAGTTTGACTCAGGTGAAGGTAAATGACTGGGCTGTAGGCACAGACATGGCAGGAGGTGGAGTGGGCGGGATAGAGTGGGCAGGGGATAGAGTGGGCAGGAGATAGAGTGGGCAGGAGATAGAGTGGGCAGGAGATAGAGTGGGCAGGAGATAGAAGCAAAAACGGGAAGACGGGTGGGGAGGGAAGGAGAGAGGAGAAGGGAAGGGCGCACAGGATGGGGAGGAAAGCGGGGAGGGGCGCACAGGGTGGGGAGGAAAGCGGGGAGGGGCGCACAGGGTGGGGAGGAAAGCGGGGAGGGGCGCACAGGGTGGGGAGGAAAGCGGGGAGGGGCGCACAGGGTGGGGAGGAAAGCGGGGAGGGGCGCACAGGGTGGGGAGGAAGAGGGGGAGGGACGCACAGGGTGGGGAGGAAGGGTTGAAGGGCGCACATGGTGGGGAGGAAAGGGGGGAGGGGCGCACATGGTGGGGAGGAAATGGGGGAGGGGCGCACACAGCACAGTAAGGCAAGTGAGGCCTCTGCAGCCCACCTGTCCGTTACTGACACGAACAGCACAGTGAGGAGCATGAGGGCTACGAGGAAGCGAAGCAGCCGGCCCGAGATGGTACCTACAGCCATGCGATTAGGCAAGCAGCAGTCTAGGAAGAAACTTTTTGAGACGTGTCGAGAGGGGGGAGGGGCGCACAGCACAGTGAGGCGAGTGAGGGCTGCGAGGAAGCGAGGCAGCCGGCCCGAGATGGCCGTGTTGCCGACAATACTGGGGGAGGGGATGGGGAAAGGGTAGTGGGCAGGGGAAAAGGGAAAAGGGGAAGGGGGCAGGGGGAAGGGGTAGTGGGTAGCCGGCCTGAGATGGCCGTGTTGCCGACTATACTGGGGGAGGGGGGATGGGGAAGGGGAAGGGGGCAGGGGGCAGGGGGAAAGGGGAAGGGGAAAGGGGAAAAGGGGAGGGGGAAGGGGGAAGTGGGAAGGGGGAAGAGGCAGTGGGCAGGGGAAGGGGGGAATGGGGCATGGGGGGAGGAGGGAGGGGGATTGGAGAAGGCGGAAGGGGGGAGGAAGAAGGAGGAAGGGGAAAGGGGGAAGGGGAGCGGGCGCAGAGGGCAGGGGGAAGGGGGAGTGGAAAAGGGGAAAGTGGAAATAGGCAGGGGGTAGGGGAAAGGGGGAAGGGAGAAGAGGGCAGGGGAGAAGCAAAGGATGAAGGGATGAAGGGATGAAGGGATGAAGGGATGAAGGGATGAAGGGATGAAGGGATGAAGGGATGAAGGGATGAAGGGATGAAGGGATGAAGGGATGAAGGGATGAAGGGATGAAGGGATGAAGGGATGAAGGGATGAAGGGATGAAGGGTATGGGAGTGGGACAGACCCTGGCAGGGGATGTGATGGGATGGGAGACATACGCTTGTGAGGAGGAAGCGATCTACATGAGGGGGTTCAGTTCAGCAACGGGCTAACCCATCCCGTGTAGAGAGGGTATTTTTGAGACGTCTCACAAACAGGCCCTGACATGGGATGGGATGGGAAACATATGCTTGTGAGGAGGAAGCGATCTACACGAGGGGGCTCAGTTCAGTTCAGCAACGGGCTGACCTGTCCCGACCCAGGCCGACCAGGGCAGACTAGGCCGACCCGACCCTGGCCAGGTACGGGTCAGGCAGGGTCGACCTTACCTCAGGTCACATCCCATCCCACAGGTTCGCGACCCATCCCGACGTTTTATGGAAACTGGAGGGGACAGATGTGACACGACACCCAACTCCAAGTCGGGCCATTAGACCCGCATTTTTCGCACAGATTGGCAATTTCACCAGGCGTTTTTACATGCCGAGAGGTTGTGGGCAGATGTATGTAATTGCTTTACCCAACAAAACAGGGGAAAAAAAAAAGCAAAGTGAGAGATTGCAGGAGGAGAGGCAGGGTTCAGGGGCTGACAGCTGCTGGAGTCTGGTGAGGCGGGAGAGAGCGCGAGGCAGTGATCCCGTGAGAAAGGGGTTCAAACTCAGCACCCTGCCATGCACGTGCATGTGGGAAGTGGGACGGACACGGCCAAAGAGGAGTATTTTCCCCGTGCGGCCTTCTCCCCGTGCGGCCTTCTCCCCGTGCAACCTTCTCCCCACACACATCCACAGCGCAAGACAAAGAGCAGCAGAGGGGGGCAGCAACAGAGAAACAGCAAGAAAGGGAAGAGGGTACAAGAACCCTCAAGCGCAGCACCTTGCCTGCGAATGAAAACACTCAGACGCGAGGAAAAAACAGTTAGCAAGTCCCAAAGGTGCAAAGAGGCGTGCGAAGCTCACAAGAACTCGAGGCGGGAAAGGGCAGAAACGGTCGAGGGGATGCTTCCTGTGATGGCGTTGGATGGCGCGTAGCTGGTGGTGGTGGGTGATGAACAATGGGGCATGTAAAGGGATGGACGATGGGGCATGCAATGGGAGGGACGACGCGCGACGAGCAAGAGATGCGCGATGATGTGGATGTAAAGCAGTCGGCCTGATGGCACGAAGGAGAGGCGGCGCTGCAGCCGCAGGCGAGCACTGCAGCAAGCCCCGCCCGGGGTTACTGCATTACCAGATCAATCAAGGAGTTAGGCAGTGTAAGGGCCGACTTTTGAGGCGCCTCAAAAGTAGCACAAGCTGCAGCAAGTCAAGCCCGGGGTTACTGCATACCTCACCAGATCAATCAAGGGGTTAGGCAGTGCAAGGGAGAGAGGCGCTGGTTACATGTTTTCCAGGGCGGTGAGGGCACTGATGGTGTCGGGCAGTGGGCCAGAAATGCCAGTCCGTGCCATGCTCCTGTGGCAGGGGAGGGTGGGTGGGGGGTGGCGTTGCTTGCAGGGGAGGGCACGTGGGTGTGGCGTTGCTTGCATGTAGGGAAGGGTGGGTGGGGGGGGTGGCGTTGCTTGCAGGCTATGAGGCTTTGACGCTAAAATCTGCAAGCGTCAAGCGTCAAAACACATGGCTTCGACGCTTGAAATTTGTTTGAGACAATGCCAAAACGTTGACTGACACTGCGTAGCATTCGTTTTGGGCCCCAAAAACCTGGTTTTTTTTTTTTTGTTTTTTTTGTTTTTTTTTTGGCAAAACAATTGCGGGTCGTTTGATATAGATTTGACCTCCACGGGAGAGGCGTGCAGGAAGGAGAGGCGTACAGGAAGGAGAGGGCGGTGAGATGGCTGATTTCTTGTGGCAGTGGCACATGCAAGGGGTTGGCATCCATTTCGCTGGGAGCATGTAGGGTGGGAAGGGAAGGAAGAGCGGGATCACATAAGAGGGAGGGGAGGGGCAGTGGATGGAGAAGACGGACATGGGAGGGAGGGGATGGGCGTGGTAGGGTGGGGATGGGCGTGGGAGGGTGGGGAGTGGCATGGGTGGGAGGGGATGAACATGGGAAGGAAGGGATGGGCGTGGGAGGGAAGGGAAGGGATGGGCATGGGAGGGAGTGTAGTGGCATGGGGAAAACGATGGCTGACAAGAGCAAGAGCGAGTAAGTGCGAGAAGGAGTCGAGTAAGTGCGAGAAGGAGGCGAGTAAGTGCGAGAAGGAGGCGAGTAAGGAAGTGAGAAGCGAGCGACGGAGGTGGTGAAGGAACCACGGAGTGAGGCACGGGAGTGCGGGAGAGAGGGAGAGAAAGGTGAGGGGGGCTGACAGAAACGCAAGGCGGTGCAGGCGTGAGACGGCGGGCGGAATGGGCCCTGTGAAGCTATTGTTGTAGAATGAACTGGCGGGACGAAGGGGGTTTGGTGGCTTGGCTGTTAGACACAGACAGACGATGCAAGGCAAGGCAAGGCAAGGCGAGGCAAGTCAAGGCAAGGCAAGGCAAGTCAAGGCAAGGCAGGGAAAGGAAAGGCCAGCCAAGGCAAGTCAAGGCAAGGAAATTCAAGGCAAGGCAAGGCAGGGCAAGACAAGGCAAGTCAAGGCAAGGCAAGGCAATGCAAGTCAAGTCAAGGAGAGGCAAGGCAAGGCAAGTCAAGGCAGGGGCAGCGTGTGTCAAGCTATGATGAGCAAGACGCGTCCTGCATCCTAGACGCAGGACGCCCGGTCTGCAGCCTACAAGACGGTCAAAAGACGCTGGGCTGGGCAGGGTAAAAAGACTTCCGGGCAGCTAAAAAAACCGTAGGAAGGGGGGAGAGGGGGTTTCGCGGCATTGCAAGCACATTGATCATCATGGATCATCCATAAGATATCAAAACAACACCAGAATCCCACACATTATGAAACTTAGATTTAGGGTTTTTGAAATAGAATCAGGTCACGAGAAAGCTCTGAATGACGACATGATTCTCTTTCATAGATTGGGTTCAGGTCGACAAGGTTGGGGGGGGGAGGGGGGGGGGGGGGAGATGCAGTGCGGTAATGTGTGGTGGCTGGGGGAAAAATGGGTTGGTAGCGATTTTGCTTGGCAAGATAGCAAAATGGGCCCCATTGGTTCGCGATCTCGCTTGGCAGCATCGCTCCCATTGGGTCACGAGTTCGCGTAATTGGCATTCAAGCGAAATCGCAAAGGTCATTTTCTCGAATCAAGTACTTTTTTCGGGCAGCCCAAACTTTTTTCCGCGAAGCGTCCTGCGTCCAGCGTCCGGACACGGGACGCTTCCCCTCCTGAGCATCTTTCTCATCATCCGTGGCAAGAAACAAGGGACGGGAATAAGAGTGCCTTTCTCATCATCAAGAGAGGCATGGCAGCGGGGAGCAAGAGAGGAAAGGGAGAAGGCGACAGGCAGGCAGAATGATGGGCAGAATGATGGGAATGATGGGCAGAATGATGGGAATGATGGGTAGAATGATGGGAATGATGGGTGGAATGTTGGGACTGATGGGCAGAATGATGGGAATGATGGGCAGAATGATGGGAATGATGGGCAGAATGATGGGAATGACGGGCGGAATGTTGGGACTGATGGGTAGAACGATGGGAATGATGGGCATAACAGAATGATGGGAATGACATGCTGGTTACAGGGCAACACGGGATGGCATGTTGGTTACAGGGTACAAGGGATGACATGTTGGTTACAGGGTAACAACTTACAAGGGATGGCATGGTGGTTACAGGGCAACAAGGGATGGCATGTTGGTTATAGGGAAACAAGGGATGGTATGTTGGTTACAGGGTAACAAGGGATGGCATGTTGGTTACAGGGTAACAAGAGATGGCATGTTGTTTACAGGGTAACAAGGGATGGCATGTTGGTTACAGGGTAACAAGTGGTGGCATGTTGGTTACAGGGTAACAAGGGATGGCATGTTGGTTACAGGGTAACAAGGGATGGCATGTTGACAATGACGTCGAAAATAGGGCCCGTGAAATTGTTGCTGCTTAGAAATCTGCATGTGTAACAAACACACACACACAACACACACACATACATGCACGCACACGCAGACGCACACATACACACACACATGCACACACACACGCACACATACACACACACACACAAACCACACGCACACACACACGCACACACACGCAAGCACACACACACGTGCACATACTAACTCACTCATTCACACACACACACTCACACACACACACACACACACACACACACACACACACACACACACACACACACAAGCACGCACGCGCGCAAAAATCGGAATGACATGGCAGGAGACACAAACCAGGCCGCCACCCCAAGCCTACGGTATAAGTGACATGCCACCTGCACATGCACCCTCACAGGGGGCGCAGGGGGCAGTGCGCCTCACAGCCTCACAGGGTGTTGAGGCGGGCGAGAGTGGAGAGGGCGGATGGCAGAGGTCCGGACAACTGGTTCTGGTGCACGTCACTGCACGCGTCGAGCACAAGAGAAGGGGGTGAGAGGGGGGAGAGCGATTGGTCCATGTGCACGTCACTGCACGCGTCGTGCACAAGAGGAGGGGGTGGGAGGGGGGAGAGCGTTTGGTTCATGTGCACATCACTGCACGCGTCGTGCACAAGAGGAGGGGGTGGGAGGGGGGAGAGCGATTGGTTCATGTGCACATCACTGCACGCGTCGAGCACAAGAGAAGGGGGTGAGAGGGGGGAGAGCGATTGGTCCATGTGCACGTCACTGCACGCGTCGTGCACAAGAGGAGGGGGTGGGAGGGGGGAGAGCGTTTGGTTCATGTGCACATCACTGCACGCGTCGTGCACAAGAGGAGGGGGTGGGAGGGGGGAGAGCGATTGGTTCATGTGCACATCACTGCACGCGTCGAGCACAAGAGAAGGGGGTGAGAGGGGGGAGAGCGATTGGTCCATGTGCACGTCACTGCAAGCGTCGTGCACAAGAGGAGGGGGTGGGAGGGGGGAGAGCGTTTGGTTCATGTGCACATCACTGCACGCGTCGTGCACAAGAGGAGGGGGTGGGAGGGGGGAGAGCGATTGGTTCATGTGCACATCACTGCACGCGTCGAGCACAAGAGAAGGGGGTGAGAGGGGGGAGAGCGATTGGTCCATGTGCACGTCACTGCAAGCGTCGTGCACAAGAGGAGGGGGTGGGAGGGGGGAGAGCGTTTGGTTCATGTGCACATCACTGCACGCGTCGTGCACAAGAGGAGGGGGTGGGAGGGGGGAGAGCGATTGGTTCATGTGCACATCACTGCACGCGTCGAGCACAAGAGAAGGGGGTGAGAGGGGGGAGAGCGATTGGTCCATGTGCACGTCACTGCAAGCGTCGTGCACAAGAGGAGGGGGTGGGAGGGGGGAGAGCGATTGGTTCATGTGCACATCACTGCACGCGTCGTGCACAAGAGGAGGGGGTGAGAGGGGGGAGAGCGATTGGTTCATGTGCACATCACTGCACGCGTCGTGCACAAGAGGAGGGGGTGGGAGGGGGGAGAGCGATTGGTTCATGTGCACATCACTGCACGCGTCGTGCACAAGAGGAGGGGGTGGGAGGGGGGAGAGCGATTGGTTCATGTGCACATCACTGCACGCGTCGTGCACAAGAGGAGGGGGTGGGAGGGGGGAGAGCGATTGGTCCATGTGCACGTCACTGCAAGCGTCGTGCACAAGAGGAGGGGGTGGGAGGGGGGAGAGCGATTGGTTCATGTGCACATCACTGCACGCGTCGTGCACAAGAGGAGGGGGTGGGAGGGGGGAGAGCGATTGGTTCATGTGCACATCACTGCACGCGTCGTGCACAAGAGGAGGGGGTGGGAGGGGGGAGAGCGATTGGTTCATGTGCACATCACTGCAAGCGTCGTGCACAAGAGGAGGGGGTGGGAGGGGGGAGAGCGATTGGTTCATGTGCACATCACTGCACGCGTCGTGCACAAGAGGAGGGGGTGGGAGGGGGGAGAGCGATTGGTTCATGTGCACATCAATGCACGCGTCGTGCACAAGAGGAGGGGGTGGGAGGGGGGAGAGCGATTGGTTCATGTGCACATCACTGCACGCGTCGTGCACAAGAGGAAGGGGCCAAGGGGGGGGTATGATGGAACGACGTTGGAGTGAGAGGGCAGAGCATGAGAGCATGAGGGAAGATGGGTGAAGTGATGACGGGTGGAGTGCACAAGAGGACGGAATGGGGGGGAGTGGGAGGGGGGAGCGGTGGGGCGGGGGGGGTGTGGTGGTGGTATTGGGAGGTGAGAGAGCATGAGAGTGAGGAGGCAGAGTGAGTGACGGGTGGAGGGTGATGGGTGGAGTGGAGAGCGAGGTGGGAGGGGTGAGGGGGTTTGCGGGGCGACTGACAGTGATTGAAGGCGGGAGAGGGCGGAGAGGGCGATGGGCAAGGAGCCGATGAGGTCCCTGTGGTTGAGGTCCCTGCCCACCACGCAGAGAGAGAGGGCAGAGAGGTGGGGACGGGCGGATAGGGGCGATGGGTATGGAGCCGATGAGGTCCCAGTGGTTGAGGTCCCTGCGGTAAGAACAGTAACTGTGGGAGGGGAGGGATGAGTGAGCACAAGAGCATGAAACACGAGAGTGGTGCGTGTTGACACGGCGGCAGCACAATGCGTCTGTCCATGGCAAACCTGTGCTCGGCTTGTGCTCGGCTCTCCTCATCCACCCACCCACGCGCATCTTCACTCCTGCTACTCCCTTCCGCTGCAACCCGCGAGCAGTGAGGTGACTTTTGAGGCGCCTCAAAAATCACCTCACTGTCCATGGCAAGCCTGTGCTCAACTCTCATGCTCTCATCTCAAGCTCATCCACCAATGCGCATCTTGCTCCAGCTACTCCCTTCCACTGCAACCCCCCATGCTCTCGTGCTCTCATCTCAAGCTCATCCACCCATGCGCATCTTCACTCCTGCTACTCCCTTCCACTGCAACCCCCCATGCTCTCATGCTCTCATCTCAAGCTCATCCACCCATGCGCATCTTGACTCCTGCTACTCCCTTCCACTGCAACCCCCCATGCTCTCATGCTCTCATCTCAAGCTCATCCACCCATGCGCATCTTCACTCCTGCTACTCCCTTCCACTGCAACCCCCCATGCTCTCATGCTCTCATCTCAAGCTCATCCACCCATGCGCATCTTCACTCCTGCTACTCCCTTCCACTGCAACCCCCCATGCTCTCATGCTCTCATCTCAAGCTCATCCACCCATGCGCATCTTCACTCCTGCTACTCCCTTCCACTGCAACCCCCCATGCTCTCATGCTCTCATCTCAAGCTCATCCACCCATGCGCATCTTCACTCCTGCTACTCCCTTCCACTGCAACCCCCCATGCTCTCATGCTCTCATCTCAAGCTCATCCACCCATGCGCATCTTCACTCCTGCTACTCCCTTCCACTGCAACCCCCCATGCTCTCATGCTCTCATCTCAAGCTCATCCACCCATGCGCATCTTGACTCCTGCTACTCCCTTCCACTGCAACCCCCCATGCTCTCATGCTCTCATCTCAAGCTCATCCACCCATGCGCATCTTCACTCCTGCTACTCCCTTCCACTGCAACCCCCCATGCTCTCATGCTCTCATCTCAAGCTCATCCACCCATGCGCATCTTCACTCCTGCTACTCCCTTCCACTGCAACCCCCCATGCTCTCATGCTCTCATCTCAAGCTCATCCACCCATGCGCATCTTGACTCCTGCTACTCCCTTCCACTGCAACCCCCCATGCTCTCATGCTCTCATCTCAAGCTCATCCACCCATGCGCATCTTCACTCCTGCTACTCCCTTCCACTGCAACCCCCCATGCTCTCATGCTCTCATCTCAAGCTCATCCACCCATGCGCATCTTGACTCCTGCTACTCCCTTCCACTGCAACCCCCCATGCTCTCATGCTCTCATCTCAAGCTCATCCACCCATGCGCATCTTCACTCCTGCTACTCCCTTCCACTGCAACCCCCCATGCTCTCATGCTCTCATCTCAAGCTCATCCACCCATGCGCATCTTCACTCCTGCTACTCCCTTCCACTGCAACCCCCCATGCTCTCATGCTCTCATCTCAAGCTCATCCACCCATGCGCATCTTGACTCCTGCTACTCCCTTCCACTGCAACCCCCCATGCTCTCATGCTCTCATCTCAAGCTCATCCACCCATGCGCATCTTCACTCCTGCTACTCCCTTCCACTGCAACCCCCCATGCTCTCATGCTCTCATCTCAAGCTCATCCACCCATGTGCATCTTCACTCCTGCTACTCCCTTCCACTGCAACCCCCCATGCTCTCATGCTCTCATCTCAAGCTCATCCACCCATGCGCATCTTCACTCCTGCTACTCCCTTCCACTGCAACCCCCCATGCTCTCATGCTCTCATCTCAAGCTCATCCACCCATGCGCATCTTCACTCCTGCTACTCCCTTCCACTGCAACCCCCCATGCTCTCATGCTCTCATCTCAAGCTCATCCACCCATGCGCATCTTCACTCCTGCTACTCCCTTCCACTGCAACCCCCCATGCTCTCATGCTCTCATCTCAAGCTCATCCACCCATGCGCATCTTCACTCCTGCTACTCCCTTCCACTGCAACCCCCCATGCTCTCATGCTCTCATCTCAAGCTCATCCACCCATGCGCATCTTCACTCCTGCTACTCCCTTCCACTGCAACCCCCCATGCTCTCATGCTCTCATCTCAAGCTCATCCACCCATGCGCATCTTCACTCCTGCTACTCCCTTCCACTGCAACCCCCCATGCTCTCATGCTCTCATCTCAAGCTCATCCACCCATGCGCATCTTCACTCCTGCTACTCCCTTCCACTGCAACCCCCCATGCTCTCATGCTCTCATCTCAAGCTCATCCACCCATGCTCATCTTGACTCCTGCTACTCCCTTCCACTGCAACCCCCCATGCTCTCATGCTCTCATCTCAAGCTCATCCACCCATGCGCATCTTCACTCCTGCTACTCCCTTCCACTGCAACCCCCCATGCTCTCATGCTCTCATCTCAAGCTCATCCACCCATGCGCATCTTCACTCCTGCTACTCCCTTCCACTGCAACCCCCCATTCTCTCATGCTCTCATCTCAAGCTCATCCACCCATGCGCATCTTCACTCCTGCTACTCCCTTCCACTGCAACCCCCCATGCTCTCATCTCAAGCTCATCCACCCATGCGCATCTTCACTCCTGCTACTCCCTTCCACTGCAACCCCCCATGCTCTCATCTCAAGCTCATCCACCCATGCGCATCTTCACTCCTGCTACTCCCTTCCACTGCAACCCCCCATGCTCTCATGCTCTCATCTCAAGCTCATCCACCCATGCGCATCTTCACTCCTGCTACTCCCTTCCACTGCAACCCCCCATGCTCTCATGCTCTCATCTCAAGCTCATCCACCCATGCGCATCTTCACTCCTGCTACTCCCTTCCACTGCAACCCCCCATGCTCTCATGCTCTCATCTCAAGCTCATCCACCCATGCGCATCTTCACTCCTGCTACTCCCTTCCACTGCAACCCCCCATGCTCTCATGCTCTCATCTCAAGCTCATCCACCCATGCGCATCTTCACTCCTGCTACTCCCTTCCACTGCAACCCCCCATGCTCTCATGCTCTCATCTCAAGCTCATCCACCCATGCGCATCTTCACTCCTGCTACTCCCTTCCACTGCAACCCCCCATGCTCTCATGCTCTCATCTCAAGCTCATCCACCCATGCGCATCTTCACTCCTGCTACTCCCTTCCACTGCAACCCCCCATGCTCTCATGCTCTCATCTCAAGCTCATCCACCCATGCGCATCTTCACTCCTGCTACTCCCTTCCACTGCAACCCCCCATGCTCTCATGCTCTCATCTCAAGCTCATCCACCCATGCGCATCTTCACTCCTGCTACTCCCTTCCACTGCAACCCCCCATGCTCTCATGCTCTCATCTCAAGCTCATCCACCCATGCGCATCTTCACTCCTGCTACTCCCTTCCACTGCAACCCCCCATGCTCTCATGCTCTCATCTCAAGCTCATCCACCCATGCGCATCTTCACTCCTGCTACTCCCTTCCACTGCAACCCCCCATGCTCTCATGCTCTCATCTCAAGCTCATCCACCCATGCGCATCTTCACTCCTGCTACTCCCTTCCACTGCAACCCCCCATGCTCTCATGCTCTCATCTCAAGCTCATCCACCCATGCGCATCTTCACTCCTGCTACTCCCTTCCACTGCAACCCCCCATGCTCTCATGCTCTCATCTCAAGCTCATCCACCCATGCGCATCTTGACTCCTGCTACTCCCTTCCACTGCAACCCCCCATGCTCTCATGCTCTCATCTCAAGCTCATCCACCCATGCGCATCTTCACTCCTGCTACTCCCTTCCACTGCAACCCCCCATGCTCTCATGCTCTCATCTCAAGCTCATCCACCCATGCGCATCTTCACTCCTGCTACTCCCTTCCACTGCAACCCCCCATGCTCTCATGCTCTCATCTCAAGCTCATCCACCCATGCGCATCTTGACTCCTGCTACTCCCTTCCACTGCAACCCCCCATGCTCTCATGCTCTCATCTCAAGCTCATCCACCCATGCGCATCTTCACTCCTGCTACTCCCTTCCACTGCAACCCCCCATGCTCTCATGCTCTCATCTCAAGCTCATCCACCCATGTGCATCTTCACTCCTGCTACTCCCTTCCACTGCAACCCCCCATGCTCTCATGCTCTCATCTCAAGCTCATCCACCCATGCGCATCTTCACTCCTGCTACTCCCTTCCACTGCAACCCCCCATGCTCTCATGCTCTCATCTCAAGCTCATCCACCCATGCGCATCTTGACTCCTGCTACTCCCTTCCACTGCAACCCCCCATGCTCTCATGCTCTCATCTCAAGCTCATCCACCCATGCGCATCTTCACTCCTGCTACTCCCTTCCACTGCAACCCCCCATGCTCTCATGCTCTCATCTCAAGCTCATCCACCCATGCGCATCTTCACTCCTGCTACTCCCTTCCACTGCAACCCCCCATGCTCTCATGCTCTCATCTCAAGCTCATCCACCCATGCGCATCTTCACTCCTGCTACTCCCTTCCACTGCAACCCCCCATGCTCTCATGCTCTCATCTCAAGCTCATCCACCCATGCGCATCTTCACTCCTGCTACTCCCTTCCACTGCAACCCCCCATGCTCTCATGCTCTCATCTCAAGCTCATCCACCCATGCGCATCTTCACTCCTGCTACTCCCTTCCACTGCAACCCCCCATGCTCTCATGCTCTCATCTCAAGCTCATCCACCCATGCTCATCTTGACTCCTGCTACTCCCTTCCACTGCAACCCCCCATGCTCTCATGCTCTCATCTCAAGCTCATCCACCCATGCGCATCTTCACTCCTGCTACTCCCTTCCACTGCAACCCCCCATGCTCTCATGCTCTCATCTCAAGCTCATCCACCCATGCGCATCTTCACTCCTGCTACTCCCTTCCACTGCAACCCCCCATGCTCTCATGCTCTCATCTCAAGCTCATCCACCCATGCGCATCTTCACTCCTGCTACTCCCTTCCACTGCAACCCCCCATGCTCTCATGCTCTCATCTCAAGCTCATCCACCCATGCGCATCTTCACTCCTGCTACTCCCTTCCACTGCAACCCCCCATGCTCTCATGCTCTCATCTCAAGCTCATCCACCCATGCTCATCTTGACTCCTGCTACTCCCTTCCACTGCAACCCCCCATTCTCTCATGCTCTCATCTCAAGCTCATCCACCCATGCGCATCTTCACTCCTGCTACTCCCTTCCACTGCAACCCCCCATGCTCTCATCTCAAGCTCATCCACCCATGCGCATCTTCACTCCTGCTACTCCCTTCCACTGCAACCCCCCATGCTCTCATCTCAAGCTCATCCACCCATGCGCATCTTCACTCCTGCTACTCCCTTCCACTGCAACCCCCCATGCTCTCATGCTCTCATCTCAAGCTCATCCACCCATGCGCATCTTCACTCCTGCTACTCCCTTCCACTGCAACCCCCCATGCTCTCATGCTCTCATCTCAAGCTCATCCACCCATGCGCATCTTCACTCCTGCTACTCCCTTCCACTGCAACCCCCCATGCTCTCATGCTCTCATCTCAAGCTCATCCACCCATGCGCATCTTCACTCCTGCTACTCCCTTCCACTGCAACCCCCCATGCTCTCATGCTCTCATCTCAAGCTCATCCACCCATGCTCATCTTGACTCCTGCTACTCCCTTCCACTGCAACCCCCCATGCTCTCATGCTCTCATCTCAAGCTCATCCACCCATGCGCATCTTCACTCCTGCTACTCCCTTCCACTGCAACCCCCCATGCTCTCATGCTCTCATCTCAAGCTCATCCACCCATGCGCATCTTGACTCCTGCTACTCCCTTCCACTGCAACCCCCCATGCTCTCATGCTCTCATCTCAAGCTCATCCACCCATGCGCATCTTCACTCCTGCTACTCCCTTCCACTGCAACCCCCCATGCTCTCATGCTCTCATCTCAAGCTCATCCACCCATGCGCATCTTCACTCCTGCTACTCCCTTCCACTGCAAACCCCCATGCTCTCATGCCCTCATCTCAAGCTCATCCACCCATGCGCATCTTCACTCCTGCTACTCCCTTCCACTGCAACCCCCCATGCTCTCATGCTCTCATCTCAAGCTCATCCACCCATGCGCATCTTCACTCCTGCTACTCCCTTCCACTGCAACCCCCCATGCTCTCATGCTCTCATCTCAAGCTCATCCACCCATGCGCATCTTGACTCCTGCTACTCCCTTCCACTGCAACCCCCCATGCTCTCATGCTCTCATCTCAAGCTCATCCACCTATGCGCATCTTCACTCCTGCTACTCCCTTCCACTGCAACCCCCCATGCTCTCATGCTCTCATCTCAAGCTCATCCACCCATGCGCATCTTCACTCCTGCTACTCCCTTCCACTGCAACCCCCCATGCTCTCATGCTCTCATCTCAAGCTCATCTACCCATGCGCATCTTCACTCCTGCTACTCCCTTCCACTGCAACCCCCCATGCTCTCATGCTCTCATCTCAAGCTCATCCACCCATGCGCATCTTCACTCCTGCTACTCCCTTCCACTGCAATCCCCCATGCTCTCATGCTCTCATCTCAAGCTCATCCACCCATGCGCATCTTCACTCCTGCTACTCCCTTCCACTGCAATCCCCTCCCACTCACAGCGCCGTCACCATGCCGTCGCCGTCGCACGTGATGCCCTGCGCCTGCGTGCACTCCACGCCCCGGGCCCACCTCATCCCACTCTTATCCCACTCCGCCGCACACTCCTTCAGCGCCGCCACTGCGCACCGCAGTGAGGGAGATACGCGCATGCAGTGAGGGAGATACGCGCAGGCAGTGAGGGAGATACGCGCAGGCAGTGGGAATTCGGGAGTTGAGAGGGGGAGGGGGGGGGGGAGGGGCAGGGGGAGGGGGGAGGAGAGGAAGAGGGGATGGACTTCAATTCAATGCAAGCGTTCAGTTTTGCGCGAGTACAGCAAAAGCTGAAGGGAAGCCCAGCGGGACAGCGGGCTCCAATGGGAATCGTTGCAAGCTCCGTGGGGGAGGGGTGGAGGCAGGCGGGGGAGGGTTGGAGGGAAGTGCGAAATTTGTACGATGTGTTTATTTATGGACCATGGCAGCAACTGCATGAAAAGGCAAAAACGGGCACTCAAATTACTCACCCCCGCCACAACAACCCAACTGTGACTCACTCGGACAGGCAGTGAGTGTGAGCAGAAGGACAGACATGGACCGAAACTCTTTGGGAAAGCAGTACGCGCCCTGACACATGCACGCACCCCTCTTGCCAGCAACCCCCGAAACCGAAACCAGCCTCAAAGAAAAATACCTCCTTGCTACCATCCCCCTCTTTGAGGCGCCTCAAACAACCCCCGAAGCAGAAACCAGCCTCAAAGAAAAGCACCTCCTCGCTAGCATCCCACTTGCCAAATAGATGCCCTCCCAGGTCCGTGGTGGACTACCCCTCCTCAACCTCAGCAACGGCAATTTCAAGCAAGTGCTGATTTTACGCTGACGTTTTCTTCAAACTGGCTAACTAAGGAAACGCTCTAGCACAGTCAACCAGGCTCTTCATTCATTCAGTTCATGGGGTTTGATCTGTCGTCCTAGAACCATTCAAGTTGATGGAAAGAAGACCTCCGCAGCCCACAAGGCATCACCGGCCCACGCACCACATCATGGGACTATCGACCCACAGCGGGACCCACTATGGCCCCTCTCCCCACGCCGAGATGACTTTGAGTCGACTCATAAGGGCCCCTCACTCCGGCTCAGGCCGTCAAGCATCCAGCTAAGGCATCACCGGCCCGTGCACCACATGGGATGGGATGGGACTACCCGCCCACAGCGGGACCCACTCTGGCCCCTCTCCTCACGCCCTCCCATGCACCTAAACCTGTCGCTTACAGGCTGTTGTTATGGCGGGTTACTTACTACCCGATCTGGCCCCCACCCCGGCGCTTACCTGTTATTGCTGGACCCCCCTGGTGTAGGCCATGGTCATTCCTACCTGCCCTGGCTGTACCCCACTTTATTCAATGAAATGACTCCGTTCGAGAGGGGAAGAGGGCGACGGGAGGAGGTACTATGCGAGGATGGCAGGGGACTCCACCAAGGCGCGAGATCAGCGCCAGAGCAGCGCGAGCGCAGCGCGAGCGCAGCGCGGGAGCAGCGCGAGATCAGCGCGAGATCAGCGCGAGCGCAGCGCGGGAGCAGCGCGAGATCAGCGCGAGATCAGCGCGAGCGCAGCGCGGGAGCAGCGCGAGTGCAGCGCGGGAGCAGCGGGAGAGCAGCTCGAGAGCAGCCCGGGAGCAGCGCGGAGCAGCGCGGGAGCAGCTCGAGAGCAGCCCGGGAGCAGCGCGGAGCAGCGCGGAGCAGCGCGGGAGCAGCGCGGGAGCAGCGCGCGGGAGCAGCGCGGAACAGCGCGAGAACAACGCGTGCGCAACGAGAGAGCAGCGCGGGAGCAGCGCAGAGCAACGCGTTCGCAACGAGCAGCGCGAGAGCAGCGCGAGAGCAGCGCGAGCGCAGAGAGGGAGCAGCGCGAGCGCAGCGCGGGAGCAGCGCGGGAGCAGCGCGAGAGCAGCGCGAACGCAGCGCGATCGCAGCGGGATCGAGAGCAGTGCGAGAGCGCGGGAGCAGCGCGAGAGCAACGCGTGCGCAACGAGAGAGCAGCCCGAGAGCAGCGCGAATGAAGAGTTCGTCGTTACAATGCGGTAACGGTCGCTAGAGTACTAATGGAAGTCGCGCGAGTAGAGCGGAATAGAGGAGGGACTGCGTGACTTGCTGCTGGTCGAGAGTTTGAAAGCTACGTCTTGCGAGCGTGGCGCACCTTGGGAGTCGGCGAGAGTCACGGGCTGCACGACACGTGGCAGGAGACTGGCGACGACCGCCGCTAGCAACGGAAGGGCGGCTGCAACGATCCGCGACTGCGGGCTACTAGCCCGCCTCGCACGACCTCCCACCATGGGAGTTACTAGACGGCGAGTGGGAGTTACTACGCAGCAATTACCTACATCGGTATGAATCGCGTAAGCAAAATCAGTTACCGTGGCACCTTGTGCCCTTGCGATCGCCGCATCAGAAAAGCTGGGGGCTCTGCACGGTAGGCTTAGATGGCTCCTAAACTACGTGAGAGCTTCGACGTATTGGTTCCTAAACTACATGAGAGCGACGAGGCTGCTTTCGGCGCATAGGCGCCACGGAAACTTCTTCCTTGTTCGCTGTCCTGCTCGCAGGCGATGACCTGAGTAATAACGGCGGGTCATACTTTTTTTGTTCCAGGTTCGTTTTGAATGGTTCATCCTGGTGCGCAATAGTCTAATGCGGTGAAATGTAGTTTACCGTATTCAACCACGTCAAACGAGCCCCTAACAAAAAAGTCCCACCCACCCTAACGAGTTTCCGATAACTCGTAAATTCGAGATTGTTGACCACTTGAGGTGGTGTTCGCCAGCACCTTTGAATGCAAAATCGACGGAACAAGAAGGTCAGTCACGCCTTCCTGATCCCGTCAGTTAGGGTTCGTTAAGCTCCGTCAGCTTGGTCAGCCCGTAAAAATGCTGCCGAGCCTCCCATGTTGTCCGAACCGAAAACCAAATTGAGGGCCTGGCGAACGCCCCCAAACTTATCCCATTTCGAACTGCACGACGGCATATGGAAGTGGTTACGCAACTTCGTCCCCGGGCAAAAAGCCCTCCCCACGCTATGCCATCGCCATTCCCCCTTTCACGGAGGACAGCGATAGCATACAGATGGCATTGCCGTTCAGAGGGGAACCTCTGAACGAGCCAAATGTTTGCCAAATGGGGGTTCGTTTACCCCCCCTTTCGTAAACCCTAAAGGAGTTGGATGAGTCTGATTTGTGGCTGGGTCTCAGCACGAGATGGCGGGGGTTGTATTTGAGCAGGGATATTTTTCATTTTTGCGTTTTTAACCCAAGTCAGGCATTTTTTGGCCCCCGGTCAGGCATTGGTCAGTGACGCTAAACTTTCGCGCCAGTATGGGGAAGGTGGGGATGGAGGTTCCCGAAGCGGTTGTGTAATTTCTCGTTTCGGGACGGGAATTTCTCGAGTGGCATTACGCCCAAACCTCTTCGGTGGGGTCCGCCCCCGTTTCCTGATGTGGTCGCCATTCCGATGCCGTTGTTTTTCTTTCAAATTTTCAAGTGCTGACGAACACCGCCGATCTGTGGCCCCTACTCGGAGTTGCCTTCTCGGAGGTCACTCGAAGGGGCCACGTTGGGGGAGTACACCGACACGCACCGACACGCACGTGTCGGGACGAGCGGGAAAAACGGGGACGAGCGGGAAAAACGGTTGTCGGTCTCGATTGGTTACTTCAGCATACAATCCGTCCTAATACAAAATTAAAGCGAGAATAATGGCTCGAGAGTCAAACAACCGCATATAGAAGTGAAACACAATCATAAACAGCAAATTTAAAAAACACATCGTAGTATACAATAAACATAGAATTGCACTTGCGAGTCATTTCCTTCAAGTCAAGAAGCATATCCTTGGTTTGGCCAATTGACAACAGCTTTTTACTATTTTTAAGGCTGGCCTAACAGCTCATTGGTTTTGTTCACCTATTAGAACATTTGCTACCGTATTAGACATAAGCCAAAGGTGGGTGGTTATCACCGGTGATTTCTTTTACCACATGGTTCTTACATTCGGCACTCTCATTTGTACTTAGGGCGTGTCCCACGAGTTCGTTCTGGGAGAAAAGTTTTTTTTTAACGTAACTTCGAGTCAGCAAAAGAGTGTACACTCTGACGAAAATAACACGCAGCGAGTCAGCACTGCGCCAAACGAATTTGGACCACGCGGACCCCAGCCCCGCCCTCACAAAACTCGTATTCCGAATCACATTTGACACGGGTCGCGAGCAGTAACCCGGGCCAGTTGCGAATCTACTGTGCCAAAAATGACGGAGCTCGCACAACCAGAAACATACAAACCAGACTGTCGACTCGCTTGCGACGCTCGTTTTTTTTCGCGCGAGTGAGGGTTGGGCGAATTACGCGGACCTGTTCGAGGTGATGGTTCGTAACTGGAAGCTGTTTTTGAACGTGTACATTACGAAGCTTTTGACGTTTACAGCATGTCAGTGTCGCGCGTCATTGACGACGCATGTCTACAGTGGTCGAATTTGAAGGGTTACAAAAAGAAAATAGGGTTACAGCGCTTAACATGAACTGTAAACGAACGCGTGGGACACGCCCTTATCTCGTATCGCGTACTCCAGCTTGATCTCACTTCAAGGACTGCTGCTCTCCCAATTATTGCTGCACGCTGACACCAATAATCGTGAGGTTCCATTGTGGTCACTCGCCGCCGTGCTATGTTGCTGATATATTGCGATCTGACGGCTGCGGCTTGCGCAACCTCCAGTCGTGATTCTGGATGCACCATAATCCACCGTTGATGGGCAAACACGCGCGGTTCGATAATCATGTGCACGCGCTTCGAGCAGCAGATACGCGGAATGAGCTGTATGCGCCTGGCATGCGATTCATGGCCCCGCAAAATGCGCGACGTCGAGTCGCGTTGTTCCCCGTCACTCGCACTGCTGGCCCCATTGGGGCCTTTCCTGTCTTCGCGTTCTCCCTATCTCCCGCGCCGGCGCTGTCCCTACCTTCTTGCTCCACCCCCTACTCTCCCCGCCTTGCACTATTTATGTGCCTGCACGAATCCCTACGCCTACGTATTCCCAGCATTCCCAACATTCCCGACAATCTCTCGTCCTGCTCTTCAGCTCACCACCGCACATAGTCGCCAGGTTGATTGTTACTAAACGCCATATCCTCGGGTTAAAAGTCGCCATACCCACACATCGTCTCACGATCTCCATCCGCATCTGATGGCTTCGGTGTCGTCGACCGCGTGGCTCAATCCGCTCGTCGTCGTCGTGATTGTCGCAGCCCTCCTCCCCTCTTGCGACGCAATCCGCGTCGCCGCGTCGCCCGATGCGACAATCATAAAGTCGCAGCGTACGTGCCATTTTCCGCCATTGGCTGAGATCATGCATTGCCCGGGAACGTGCAAAAAGCAATTTTGTATGTTTTCCACCTTTTTCATTGTTCGTCATCTCTTCCGTCCCCTCCGTCCCCTTCTGTCCACCTCCGTCGACCTCCGTCCGTCAGTGGACGTTCTCCGTCAGCTCGGCGCGCAGTCGGGCAGCGAGTTCGCGGGGTTCAAGTCGTGGACGGCCACCGCCTCGCCCGCCAAATGCGCCACGTACCTGGGAGTGACGTGCGACGCGGCGGGCAACGTCGTCGCCATGTGAGTGCGCGGAGATTATGGAACGAGCGCGATTTGATGTAGCAATCCCCGCCACGTGCGTACCTTGGAGATTAATCCGCGCTGATTTTCAAACCTCTCTTCTAGGACGTGTCTTTAGCCCGGATGATAGATTAGAACGATTAGGTTACACCTATCGCGTCTGATGCTTTCTTCCTTATCGGCTAAGTGCCTCTGTGTCTCGCGACTGCATCATCCCCTACTCCTCGCCTACAGCAATGTGACAGGAGCGGGTCTCAAGGGGCCAATCGATGCTCTCTCCAAGCTCGCCGCGCTGGAATCGCTGTAAGCCTTGTTGCCATTGCTCCTCCTCACCGTTGCTGTGCAAGTTGGGCATTGAGCGCCGTAAGTATGAGTGCTGTCAAGGATTATCAAGGCTGTTATCGGTCCCTCTTTGCATGTCTGCCTCTCATGCCACCTTGCTCCCCTATCCCCACCCCCCGTCCTCCCCCCTCCGCCTCTTACCTTACCCCCCCAGCGACCTGAGTCAGAACGGCGAGATCACGGAGCTGCCACAGTCACTGGCGCAGCTCAAGAAGCTCAAACTCCTGTGAGTACCCTGCGTAGTGCACTGCGGTGCACTGCGGTGCTCTACGGTGCTCTATGGTGCTAGACACAAGGGTGGGCTCGTGAGCTGAGCTGTGGTGGATGAACTCTCCCAACAGCCATTGCATTGCATTGAACCGCATAATACCCATCAACGTTGCAACGGCCTTTCCTCACCGCCTCAGCCTTGCTCCTATACATGGTGGATCAATCAAGGAGCGATATCCCCTCCTTCTTTCCGGGCAACTGGACAATCATCCCCTTCTTTTGCTAGATCCGACCCATTCTTAGCCATTCAATGCACTCCTGCCAACCTCGATCTCCCCCCTCGCTCCTCTCGTTGCTCGTTACCACCCAAACGCCACATCCTTCCTGGGAAGTCACCGACCTTGCACTCACTCCACTCCACACCCTGCCTCTCCTCCCTCTCGCCTTGCTCCTGCTCACGCCCCCCCTCCCCCCCCGCCATCCTCTGCGCGCAGCAATGTGAACAACTGTTGGATCGGGGGGCGCATACCGCCCTTCCTCGGCCAACTCACTGCCCTCACATCCCTGTCAGTCACCCTGCTGTGCCATGCCATGCCGTGCCAACCCACGCCATGCTATGCTGTCCCATGCCATGCAATGCCATCCCATGCTGTCCCATGCCATGCCATGCCATCCCATGCTGTCCCGGGCCATGCCGTGGTTGCTCTATCATCCTGTGCCATCTCCACTAACCCTCACACACTGTCTGACAGTCTCAAATGCACCTCCCCTCCCTCCTCCCCTGCTTGCTCTCCCCCCCCCCATGCTCGAACATCCCCCCTCGTGTGCCCCCCATGTGCCCCTCATGTGCCACACAACAGGAGCATCGGTGGTAACCCGCTCGTGGGTGCAGTACCTTTCAGCTTCGGCAGCCTTGTCAATCTCGTCTCCCTGTAATCCTCCCCTCTCGTTATAAGCATCCTAGCCTCGCTACAAGCTTCTCTATGGTTATTCTGATCCGGCTACATAAGCATTCTGGTCTCGCTGTAAGCATCCTCGTCCTCGTCTCTCAATGGTCTGGTTTCACCGATGCAGCCCAGCAACAGATTTTGTTCCCCCCTGCCCCCTCTCTCGTTTCCTTAACCCCCTCCTCGTCCTCCCTCTTTGCACCCGGCCGGTCCGGGAAAAAAAAAAAAAAAAATGCCTTTTCTTACTTTTCCTTTCCCCACCCTGCTTTGACTCCGCCCTGCCAGCAACATCGCAGCAACAGGCCTCGAAGGCGTGAGGGGGCGCCCTGCCCTCCAGCCTTTCCAGCAACAGCGCTCTCTGCTTTTCTTCCCCTTCTTTCCCCTCCTCCTCTCCCCCCCCCCCCCGCCCCTCTCCTGCCCTCCTCCCAGCAACATCGCAGCAACAGGCATCGAAGGCGTGGGAGGCGCCCTGCCGTCCAGCCTTTCCAGCAACAGCGCTCTCTGCTTTTCTTCCCCTTCTTTCCCCTCTTCCTCTCCCCCCCCCCCCGCCCCTCTCCTGCCCTCCTCCCAGCAACATCGCAGCAACAGGCATCGAAGGCGTGGGAGGCGCCCTGCCGTCCAGCCTTTCCAGCCTGACCAAGCTCAAAGAGCTGTGCGTGCCTGTGGGGGGGACGAGGGGTCGAGGGGGAGGTTGTTGGGGAGGAGAGTGTGGGAGAAGCGCAAGGAGTAGAGAGGAAGAGGAAACTTGTTGTCCTTTGGCTTTTCCCTTCTGGAGAAGCTGAGTGAATCGCCAGTGCAGGGAGGTGGCAGGGGAGGGGGAGAGAGGACAGGGGACGAGAGAGCGAACAGACCGACCTACCCCGTGGCTTGGCCAATGGAAAACCGGCTGACAAGTGAAGAAAGACGTGGGTGGAGAGACAGGGGAGGGACTTAGGTTGAGACGAAGGGAGATGGTGGGAGCAGTGCCACTGGCCTTCCCTCTGCGCTTCTCGCTACCAACACCTCAATTTCTCAGTTTCCAATCGCCGTCCTCCCCCCCCGTCCCCTCAGCTATCTGCGCAAGAACCGCTTCAAAGGGCCGCTGCCAGCCTTCCTCGGCACATTCACGGACCTGGAACAGCTGTGAGTGCTGCTTTCTTGCTGCTGTTTCTGCCTGCTGTTGAGAGCATAACACCTAGTGAGTGCTGGCTGCTGTTGGGAGGAGCAGCTGCGAGTGCGGTGAGGTGCATTCACCTAGTGAGAGCTCTGTGCGGGAGTGGTTGCGAGTGAGAGAAATGGATGAGAGTGCTAGTGGTTTGTGGGTGCATGCCTCACCTTCCTTTCCCTCGCTTCTGTCGCATACTCACTCACCCACGCCCATCCCTCCTCCCTTCCCCCATCCCCCAGCGTGGTGAGCACCAACTATTGGTCAGGCTCCATCCCCGTGGCACTATCAAACCTCAAGAAGCTCAAGAACCTGTGAGTCACGCTCACACTTATCACCCTCCCTTTCACTCTCACACTCAGCACGCTTGATGTGACTGCTTTTTTTTTCGAGGCACCTCAAAAATCGTTTCAAGTACCTGCGGCTTACCGCTGCTTAGATCTCGGTCTTAACCTAATTCTCCGTGTCTCTACCACGACCGATAACCTCGCTCCCTACTTCCCCTCCCTCTCCTTCCCTCCCTCCCCCCGCCCCTCTCTCCGCCTCTCTCCCAGGGGGCTGAGGGAGACCACACTAGAGGGCGAGATCCCAACGTTCCTGGGCACACTGAGCCAGCTCACATACCTGTAAGCTCACAACACTCTCGCCGCCCTCTCACCGGCCCTCACCTCCCTCTCACCTCCCTCTCACCGCCCTCTCACCGCCCTCTTCCCATCCCTTTTCTCTCACGTCCCTCTTCCCCCCAGAACCCTCCCCCATCCCCCCACCCCCCTGGCGGATACGCTGCTAGACATATAGACGCCCTGATCGCGCAATCACCCCCTCAGCCCCCTCGCACAGCCCCATTTCACCCGCTCAAGCACCCCCTTTTCCCTTCCCTCCTGTGCCCCTGTGCCCCCCTTCTCCCCCCACCCCCACGCAGCTCCCTGTCTGACACGCGGCTGTATGGCGAGCTGCCCAGGGCGCTCAATGGCCTTGCCAACCTCAGAGAGCTGTAAGCATTGGGGGGAAGGTGGGGGGGACCGAGAGGGTGGACGGAGCTGTAGGGCTCACAGGGGGCTGGGGCAGGTAGAGGGTGGATATGGGCGAGCACTGTGCCCAGTGCACTCAACAGCCTCGCAGGGGGGCTGGGAGAGCTGTGAGCCTCGCAGGGGGAGGACATGGGGGGTAGGGCAAGGGGAGGACAAGGGGAAGGGCAGGGGGAGGACATGGGGTAGGGCAAGGGGAGGACAAGGGGAAGGGCAGGGGGAGGACATGGGGTAGGGCAAGGGGAGGACAAGGGGAAGGGCAGGGGGTGGGCATGGGGAAGGGCAGGGGGTGGGCATGGGGAAGGGCAGGGGTTGGGCATGGGGAAGGGCAGGGGGTGGGCATGGGGAAGGGCAGGGGGTGGGCATGGGGAAGGGCAGGGGGAAGGGCAGGGGGTGGGCATGGGGAAGGGCAGGGGGTGGGCATGGGGAAGGGCAGGGGGTGGGCATGGGGAAGGGCAGGGGGTGGGCATGGGGAAGGGCAGGGGGTGGGCATGGGGAAGGGCAGGGGGTGGGCATGAGGGAGGGCACTGAATGGCCTTGCCAGCCTCAGAGGGCTGTGGGGCTGCCATGGGGGGTGGGGGTGGGGGTGTGGCTATGAGCGGGTAAGGGGACGGCAGGGAGTGGGGAGGACGAAGGGCAGCGGGAGTGCAGGGGGAAACACAGGGGGAAGGGGGTAGGGAGAAGGGTCTGGAGAAGTGCTGGGAGAAGGGTGGGGAAACCCTTGTCATTGTCATCACCTCCCTGATCTTGTCTCAACCATCTCCCCTTCCACCCTCATTGCATCCGTTCACCTTCCCTCCGCACTCACCCAAACCTCCCATTCTCGATGCTCACCCATCCCTGCCTCCTGTCCTGCAGGTACCTCCAGAACGGATGGTTCTACGGCCCCCTGCCCGACCTCACTGGCCTCAAGAAGCTCACGCAAATGTAACCTGCCTACCTGCGTGCCCGCCTGCCCGCCTGCTCATTTCTCTTCACTCCCTGTCATTCGTGGCATCTCGTGCTGCGCTTTACTGGAAATTCATTCTTTTGCGCTCTTATCTCCTCTGCCTCCACACACACCTACATCTTCCAACTATCCCTCTCCCTCTCCCTCTCTATCCCTCCCAACACCTCCTCACTCCCCACCCATCCAGCGACCTCTCCGAGAACTACTTCTCGGGCCCGCTCCCCTCCTTCCTGCGCCAAGTCAAGCAAGTCAACGCAGACAGCAACTACTTCTCGGGCTCTGCCGCGGTTCTCCCCTGCTCCGACCTCTTCTCCGTCAACGGCAACTGCCTCTCCTCCGTCCCCTCCCAGTGCGGGGGACCCTCCGGCCAGAAAACCCCGGCAGAGTGCAGCAAGTTCTGTGGGACGGGAGCGGCAGGTGGGGCGTGCAGCGGCAAGGGCGTGTGTGTGCCCGACATGCAGAAGATGCAGAGTTCACAGGCGTTTGTGCCGGTGTGCAAGTGTGCGGCGGGGTTCCTGCCTACGCAGAATAAGCTGGGTTGCGTGAAGAAGTGAGGGTGGAGTTGGGTTGACTCAGAATGCGCGTGTGTGTCAGACATGCAGATGATGTTGAGTTCGCAGGCGTTCGTGCCGGTATGCAAGTGTGCGGAGGGGTTCCGACCGAGCTACACAGAATAAGATGGGGTGTGTGAAGAAGTGATGGTGATGGTGGAACGGTGGCGTGGTTGGAATAAAGACTGGAGGGGAAACCCTTTTCCAGTGATTCAATGGAATTGGAAGCAGAAATAAAGGCTACCAGTCACTTTGTCTCCAATCTTATGATACCGTATTTTGTTTTACAATGTTAGTTTTGCAAATGCAGCATGGAACTCCCTGTTGACTCTAATGCTAAGAGCGTATTCGTACACCTTGTATCAAGCGAACCCTAAACGCCCGGTAAAACTAGCGAGTGATTTTGGGTGTAGGGGAATTTTCAGTGGGAGCCTGATACGAGGTTGCTTGATAAGAGGCGTAGGAATACGCTCTAAGGGAGCCACTGTTAGGTTAAGTATGGTGTGTGAAGAGATGTGAGATCAATCGGAGTGATAGGAAGAGAGGTTTATCGGAGTGATAGGAAGAGTGTATTCATGCATGAATGAAGCATGCTCTGCAAGATGGTCTGAGCAAGCTCTGACAATATGGCCATATTTACAATGCAAAATGCAATTGCACAAGGCAATTCACAAGGGTACCGAATACACTACTTGTGGTTGATTAGTATTTTCGCCAAACAGCGGCAACCAGCTCCGTCGCCAACCGCCTGTCATGCATGTCACTGCTCTCAATCATTTCCTGGAGGCATGCAGGAACTGGTTAGTATGACGACCAGGGCCCAAAATAGGTTTAGGTCCACTCTTGCAAATCAGGGTACCAGGCCCCCCGTACCCTGACCCTTAGGGTAAAAATTTCCGTACCCTGATGCCAGCAGCCTAAAACAGCCAAAAAATCCTGTTACACTGATTGTACCAGGGTAGAATTGTTGTTAGGCTGTTTGACAAACAGGAACGCCCTAAACCCGGGTGCGTTGGCGCAAATCTTGCTTAACGGACCAATCGTACGAGCGCGCGTGCAGCCGCACTGCTTCTACGTTGGCGCGCCAGTGGGCATACCGTACAAATGGTCCAGTGGGACCGTGGAGAATTTTGTCTTGGCGCGCACTGTGGCGGAATCCTCGGTTAAAAAAAGATCCGGTAAAAGTGTAGTTGGGCCCGTACCCTGATACAACCAGTGTAACCAAAATTGTTACCAGTGTAGTTTACAACGAATCCTGATTTCACTAGGGTAAAAAATTTCATAGCCTGATTTCACAAGGGTAACTGCCAAAAAGCGGCCTACCATCAGGGCAAAAAGGGTATTTTACCCTTGAAATTTGGGCCCTGATGACGACGAAACATTGTAAATGCCATGACACCAAAGAGTGATGCAATATGGCAAGAAACACCATGTGTAAACTAAAACGCACATGGCATTACCTTCACGAGCCGTTGGCTGCTCTTGGCATCCATGAAGTGCAAAGTGTGGTGCATCAGAGCACGTTTCGTCTGTGCTGCCCCAACCCGATCCACAGCTTTCAGGACACAGAGGAGGGAGTGCTCCTCCACATCCAGTGTGGAGAATTGCCGATCAAGCTTCTCTGCTAAATCAGCCACGTCATACTTATGCGCAGCTTCAAGCAGTGCAACGCCCCGTTGCTGATGATGTGAGAACATAGATGCAATTCGAATTCAAAAAGACCATGATCAGACTCGATAAGGGAAGGCTCAAATGCCACAAGTAAACTCTAGGACCGTGCTACATGCCTGCTACAAGAGCAAAAAAAAAACACAATGAAGCATCTGTGTTATGAAGCATTGGCACATACCTTAAGAACGTCAGCATCTTAGAGCACGTCGGAGACGCCGTACATGAACAGTAGGAGCAGCCTCAACGTAGGGCCATCCATGTCAGTCAGCCTGAACACTGGATCCTTCTCATCCCCCGCTTCCTCTATCATTGACTCTTGCACTGTCGACCTGAAAAGAAAAATACGGTACATAATATGAACACCATTTAAACGATTATGACAGAATGAAAGACAGTTGCATTACCAGGACATAGCATGCTTGAAACATTACCACATGGCAACGATGCTGCGGTGTGCACGAATTCTGGTACCATCGCAAGCCTAAAAAACCACATCAGTGAACTTCTCTCGATCAAATAGGTCCTTCAGTTTGGAGGAAAGGCCATAGTCTTCAGCCTCCCTGAGTTGTGTGTAACACACATGGGAAAGAAAACAAAATGAAAAAAGCAGCTCCTGCATGAAATCAGTATCCTATCCGAAAGAAGCAACTCTACAAGACAAAAAAAGTAAAGCACCATACCAGTGATGCACGAAATTAGCCGCTTGTACTAAAGCTAGAGGCGACCCCACCTTGGTGGCTCAGGTAAAAAGACCTTGGAAGCTCTTTTCCTGCACAAGTTTGTGTTGGTGCAAGAAGAAGAGTGAGCAGGAAACAACGAACAGAAATGGACAACAAGTTTTCCAACACTTCCCTGGAAAGCGGTTACCCTCCCCAGATGCATACACACCTTGACGACCCATGAAGGCGGTTCCTGTGGTCTTCTAGACTGAATCGGTGCAGGAAAATTAGGGGAAGGATTTGGAAACGAGGAGAAAAAAAATAGAAGTTCGAACTACAAACGAACCACCATGAACAGCGCACACTTAGAGAAAGGCATAAGTGCAACACTCACTAGAGAGTAAGGCATGAGTGCAACACTCACTAGAGAGAAAGGCATGAGTGCAACACTTGTTGACGCGTAAGGCCCTGCACGAGCCTGTATTCGTGCGTGAGGGCTTCGAGCGAAATGTGTCCGCGCAGTAGAGCGCGTCCTGCAGCCGCGAAAATGTTCGCAGTGCATTCTGGGTTCGCGTCTGCGCGGGAGCAAGGTTTCGCGTTTGTGCTGGGGCGACGTTTTCGCGCCCCCTGGGAGGTTTCGCGTTGGATCACCGTTGCGGGATTTCCCGCGGGTTACGAAACGGGAAGAGGCGCGGAAAAGCTGTCAGCGGCGAGTTTGAACCAAGTCCTAACTTCGGGAAGAGAAATTCGCGCATTACACTCCGTTGCCGACATTGATCCGCGAAACAGAAATGGACCGAATCGAAGGAAGTGACATTTTTTGCACAGGCGAAGTGTGTGTAACTGCAAATGTTGCAGAAACATGAACAACTACTCCTAGTTAGGTAGAAAATTACATGGCATGTTGTTTTCACCTGCCGTTGCTGACTTGGCAACGCACATGCTAGAGTAGTTGTCGGAACGTTCTGCGTGAACGTTCGCGACTATCGTCGCTTCGTTCCTATATGGTTCGGGTCCTTCCCATTGTATTCTATTATTCTCTTTTCTATAGTGAAGCTATATTATTCAAGTTTGTCCAAGCCAACACAATTTCGTGCCTCAACTCCTAGTGCACATTTCGTGACGAGATTCCCGTGCCCACGTTTTTCGTGCCCCGCCATCCCGAAAATTAGAAATTTCTGCAACACTCACTAGAGAGAAAGGCATGAGTGCAACACTCACTAGAGAGAAAGGCATGAGTGCAACACTCACTAGAGAGAAAGGCACGAGTGCAACACTCACTAGAGAGAAAGGCATGAGTGCAACACACACTAGAGAGAAAGGCACGAGTGCAACACTCACTAGAAATCCATCCATTGTGACATGCTTCCAAGCCACTAGATGCCAACCAACCAACCAAACAACAGGTAACAACAAAGACTAAAGCGGTAACCCACTCAAACCCTATATTAGGATAATTTTATCATTTGACGCGCGGCAAGTGTAGCATGGGCGTGAGGAGAAGCGAGTCTCCAATCATACGCTACTCGTGCATGCATGAATTGAGCCTTTTCTTGAGGCTAGGAGCTCGTCGGAAATCGAATCTCGTCACGGCCTTCAGATTGACGTGGCGTTTTACCAGTGGCTGCCAGCTTTGGCGCGTTTAAGTGCCCTTGCCTTTAGTGCAGCAGACGCCCTCGCGCGTTTGGCTCCAGCAAACGCGCTGGATATGGCGCACGGAGTGTACATTCGAGGGTGACGAGGAGTGTTCATTCGTGCAGTGCAGTCTTGTGGAAGGGTTGGCGACAAGATCACTCGTGCGAAGTCTCTTGCTTCTGCGAACGACAATATGGTGCTTGAATTCTCGGCCGAAACTTCGCCCAGCGTCTGTAACCAGCACATGTGCTACAAGGTGTAAAATTCTTACAAGTTGCCTAATCACATGCTAAATAAGAAAATAACACTGATTGTTGAACCGCGTGAAAACCCATCCCGACACCTTTTCCAACCACTTTCTGGTTGAATATGTACACTGAAAATTATGGAGAGCAAAACTGAAGTCCCTACGCTAACAATATGTTTTTCCATTCCAGCAAACATAAAACCATAGAACAAACAAGACATGCATATGGAACATTATATACACTATGCACAAAAGGTAAAAGGGCACACGATAACGTGACTGTTAGAATGTAGAACTGAACGAGAATGAATGAACTAGGCATCAGGGTGATACAAGTAGGAAACCCTAGCAATGTTGTACCCCCTAAGGCTAAACCCACTATAGCCTACACAATATAAACATGTATAATGTTTGACACACCCCCATAGGCTAAGTGGGAGACAACCAGATGGTCACAAGACCAGACCAGTCAAAGCTAAGCACAGCTCAGGGTGGATCTCAAGGATACCACACAAATTCCGAGCACAAGCAAGCGGTCACAAGACCAGTTCACATGCAGTTTGATAATATAACAAGAGGTACAGTGATCATAACCTAGCAAGTGTAAGCATGCAGTTATATATATATAGAGATCACAGTACAAGTAGAGTCAAGAAGTAAGCAAGTGAGGCACAGTAGGCACAAGGCATAGAACAGTACAGAAACGCTGATGATCACAAGGCTGAAGCGCCTTGGTGAACACATCAGCAGTGTTGGCCCGAGTGGCCACGTAAGCAAGACGAAGCTGACCA